AGGAAATGGACTGCTTAGAGCTGGCATTTCTCAAGTCAAGCATCAGCTCTCTGAGCCCCTGAGCCTGGGCTGAGGAGCCAGTGGCATTAGTGAGGGAGGTGCTGTGTGACACAATGACAGGGGAGCGAGGCCTCCCCGCCTCTCAGCTCTCTCCGGAAGCTGCTGGAGGGGAGACTGGGAATGATTAAGTCCCACATCCCCTCCTATGTTGCTGCTCTGGCTTGGGCAGGCTGTGGAGGCATTCACTGGCGGGTGGTGGCGTTGGACAGCTTGCCAGCCTTTGTCACATGGGTGTCACGTGTGGGGAGAGGTTGCCTCTCCCTCAGGGGTCCTCACCTTGTGGGGACAGGAGAGATCAGCGTCACCATGCAGGTACTGCACCTCACCTGGTACTGACTCCCTGTGCTCTGGGGTGAGAACAGCAGAACCGATAGAACCATAAACGGGGAGAACAGGCCTCACTAATCAGTGGTAGCGAGGCAGCAGGATGGATGGACACAGAGCTGGGGGCTGACCGATGATGTGCTGCATGTGCTTGCCCAGACGCCAAGCCCTGCCATCGGCCGTGGGGATACGGGCGCCGCTGCATTACAGCTGCTAACTGGGCTCCTGGGAGGCTGCCGCCCACGTTTACCCGCTTGTCTGCCCTCCCTCAGTCTGCACCCTGGGCCCAGCCCTCCTGTCGGGCTTCTTCCCTTGCTTGTCCGATGGTGCAGCCCAGTGACACAGACAGGCCTGGCTCTCCCTGGGGTGTGCCTCTGGTACCCGCCAGCACCCACACTCCCGGCCCTCTGCTGTGGAGGCCAAGGTCTCCAGAGGGAAGTGGCTCTGAGAATGAGGCCTGGAGTTGCCTTCCCACCCAGCCTGCTGCTTGCTCTCGCACTGTGTGACTTCTCGCTCCCTGCCTCGGAGCCCAGACCATGGGCAGGCCCGTGCTCAGTGACGCTGCTCAGCAGACAAGAGCGCTGTGCTGTGTGCTCACTCAGCCTCCAGCCTCTGCTGTATCCTGTTGCTAGGGTCTTGGTGGCCTGGGGTGGGAGCCCGTTCTGCTGCGGGCCTGGCACCCCAGAGCCAGCCCCGTCTGGGCTCCCCATCGTGATCTGGAGGTCACCCCGCTGCGCAATGACAGGCTGGTAACTGCTCAGCTACACTGGCTGGCTGAACGTACATGGGCTGGTCGGCATCGAATTTACACAGTTCAACTGGAAATCACACAGGTGGTTTTCCTTCTCAGTGTCAAGGTCAGATGGGAGTGGACTTTGGGTGGCCTCCGTCTGTCTGGGAACGCAGACTGAGTTTGGTGACAAGAGCAGAGGGCTGTTGGAACTTGAGCTTCTTTGAGGCTGGGTACCCTGCCTTTGATGGGCAGTCACTTCAGCCTTTGCTTTTCTCTTCTCTGCTTTTTTTCTTCCAATGTTCGGATGTTAATTTTTTTCACAGAACTGTGTCTGGGGGCATTTAAGGTTGGGGTCAGATGGTGTAAATAAAGAAGCTGCATGCCCCCCGGGGGCCTGGTCCTCAGGGGATGGGCTGCCTGCTGCTTCCTCCCCAAGGCAGCCTGAGTCCTCTGCTCTCCTGCCTCTGGTCTCCCTCCTCCTTCCCCGCACATGTCAAAGTGACCACGGGGCAAGATACTGGAGCCTCAGGCCCCACTGCTGCCCCCAGGGTCTATCTCAGCCATGTTGGTCAAGACCAGTCTCACAGGGAGGGGGCCTCCTTGGGCTGAAGAGGCTTTGGGGCTGAACCTGCACGTGGCTCACCACCTCCTGGCTGCCTGACCCCACGAGGCTGCTTCCTTCTTCAAGGGGACGGGGACTGGTGGTGGCAGTGCACTTCCTCTGGGGCCCTGTGGGCCTTCAGCGAGACCAGGTATGTGGCATGTCCTGGGCAGCACAGGCCATTGTCTTGGTGGGGCAGCCACCCACCCTGGAAGCCCTGCCTTGCTCGGAGTCTGGTTGCCGGGCACCTCCATGTGTGCTCGGCTCAGAGTCACTCCCGCTGTGCGTCTGGGTCTGGCTGCGGTGGGCGGGCGCTTCCGAGTTGGTGTGCTGGGCAAGACTTAGTGCAGCACGAGCCAGGGCCCCCAAGAACCTCGTCCTTCTTGGCCTGGACGGCAGCAGCCTGACCAGTCTAGTCCTTCCCAGGGGGAGGGGCCAGGCATCTGGGCCATCGGCACCACTGGCACGGGCGCCCACCTGGACCTTGGGCCTGCCAGGTGGCAGCTGGAGTCCGGAGAGGGTGGGCCAAGAGCAGGTGGAGCCGCCTGGCTGTGCCACCGGCTGTGCCACCCAACTGTGCATGGGCGAGCCGGGATCCGAGGTGTGCTGGAGAGGGTCGTGCAAGTGTCTTCTGCCAAGGGTGTGTCGTGGTCTCCCACTGTCCCTGGAAAGTGGCTGTTTGTGGACTGGGAGTTTTCTGAATAAGACCACAGGGTTGGGCTGCAGTGGCCCGTCAGGTCAGGGAGCTCGGACCCAGCTCCTCATGGCGGGCGCCTACTCAGAAAGGTGCCGATCGATGAGCATGCCGCTGTCTCCGCCAGGAACTAAGAACTTGGTTTTGAAGTTGAGGGCCTCCCAGAGGCTCTCAGAAATGCCAGGGGCCTCGGAGGTCACTGTGAGCAAGGAACCCAGGGTTTAATTTTTTATGAGTTTTCGCTTCAGAGGAAAGGCCGGGCTGAGTGGGGAGAACAGCCTGACGGAGGAGTAGGGGTGGGGGGTGTGGGTGGCAGGGCCATGTGGCTGGAGTCCCAGAGAGCGTGGGGCAGCGCTGCACCCTTCTGGCCGGGTCTGGTAGGCCCGCCGGCCTGTGAGGTGGGGGGCATCTGTTGGCAGGTGGTTTGCGAAACGGATCTGGGCACTTTGGACTGCGTCTCTGGAAACACCGTGTGCCCCCAGTCCCTTGGCAGCAAGGACAGGTGCTGCCCCACCCCCCCACGGCCTCACGCTGGTCTCCCATGGGGTTTACAGACAGAATGAAACCCCTCCTGACCTCTGCCCCTTTCCAGCCACCACTGGTTTGTCCACCCCCCTCTTAGCTCAGGGTGCCCACAGAAGGGCCTCTGGGCTTCACCTCCCACAGTCTCTCCCTCCCTCCGGCTTGGTCCTCCTCCGACTGTGTTCCACCTCTTGCCCTCTGCCCCGCCCTTTCCGCAGAGGTTGGGCTCTGGGGGTCCCCTATGCCCACTGTGCTGCCTACTCTGCTGGGTCCCTTCCCAGCTCCCCAACACGTCCTCCCAGAGGGGTTACGCATCCACTTGGTCCTCTGCTGCTTGTCCCCTGAAGCCGCCCTCCTCCCTGGGCTCTGCTTCCTAGCAGGCGCCCATGTGGTCTCCCAGGCCTCCTCGGAGAGGTGGAGAGGCCGCAGGCTGGGGGTGAGGGGGAGCGGGGGAGCTCAGGGCAGATGCCAGCAGTGCCTCCCCAAGGGCTCAGGTTGTGTCCCCCAGTTCCTGAGTTTGAAGATTTCAGCCTCTGGGTCCCCACAACCCAGGAGATGTAGCTCCTCTCTGAAAGGCACCTCCTTGCTACTTCAGGGTCCCCTCTTCTCCACCCTGCTGGAAGGAGAGCCTGGCAAGGTTGGGCATGTGGGCAGTGTGATCCTGGCCATGTCCCCAGGGCCAGGGAATGAGTGGGCAGACCCCATCGTGGACCATCCTGGTGAGGCTCCAGGTGTTCGGTAGCCTGTGTCTGTTGCCTATGATCCTGAGGTTGGGCATTTCAGTCTGGTTCCCTCTAAATAACTGAGGAGCGGTGACATTCTCAGGCCTCACGGCAGACTTGGGGAGTGCAGGATGGTGCAGGGCCTTGCCCACCCACTGCTGTCTCCACTGGTGTCCTGGGTCCCCAGGGGGCCGTGTCCTCTGGGACCCCTTCCTCATTAGGCACAGCTGCTCGGCCACGCTGGGCACAGTCCCCAAAGCCCGGAAAGTATTGCTCCCCTGCTGTGCTGCTGGACTGGGACTGGCTGCAGGATCCCTCCCATGTCTGTGCCTCCACAGCCGGTATCATCCTCACCTCGGCAGACGATGCAAGTGTCACCTCATGACATGCTCCTGGTGACGGCCCTTCTATCTGATTGCTTTTGAGTCTTTAAAGCTTTCCTTTGGAAAGACACTTTCTCTGCTCAGAGCAGCAGCATGAACGCTGTGCTTTCTACCCCTACTCTCACGCCCCTGCCCCAGGCGCCCTCAGGGTCAGCCACTCCCAGCCCTGCCCTCCCTGGTCCTCGTCCCTCCTGGTCCTCGTCCCTAGTCCTTGACTCTCCCTGCTAGGCTGGGCAGCCTCTGAAGAAGGCGTGAGAGTGAGGGGAGGCGCGAGACAGCCTGGGCAGGGCTATGGAGGACCAGTGGCAATGTGGGGAGAGAGTCAAAGGCCTGACTAGAGAGGTGCTTCACCTCCACATCAAGAGGTGGGGGTCAGCACAGGGGCTGTGGGGAGCAGGACAGGCTCTGCGAGAGAATCAAGCCTGTGTCCTGACCTGGGGTCTGAAGGGCTGGCGTGGTCACACAGTACAAGTGGGGCACCAGGAGCCCAGAGGCAGGGTGCTTAAGGCAGGAAGGGCCGTGGCCCAGGTCAGTGGGCACAGCCTCAACTAGCCTAGCTGAGCCTGCAGGGCCTGGCTGGGGTTCGGCTCCCAGGAGCCAGGGTAGGAAGGCCTGGACTTGGGGCCTGACTCCCCCGTGGAGCAGCCAGCTGCACACCTGGCCGCTGACTCAGGGAAGCACCTGCTCTGGTGATTGAGCTCATTCACGCGGACATTTTCCCCATTGTGTGTGGAGCTGCGCCCCTCCCCCACAGCAGCTCTGGGATCGCCCTGGGGGTCCGCTTGAAATTCAGAGCCGCCTGAAAGGCACTGAGCAGCTATTCAGAGTGCGGAAGCGACAGCGAGGGACTGCACGTGCAGCTCTATTCTGGGGCCCTACCAGGCCGGGCGGGGGGTGGGGGGCCCACGGCTGGGGCACCGTGCTGCGGGGCTCACCCTGCCCTCGTGCCTTTTCTGTGCAGCGCCCGAGAACTGGACAAGGTGCGGCAGCAGCTGCAGGAGGAGCTGTGCCAGGTCAGCACCCAGCTGCTGGAGGAGAGGAAGAAGCGCGAGACGCACGAGGCCCTGGCCCGCCGGCTGCAGAAGCGTGTCCTGCTACTGACCAAGGTATGGTGGTGGCGGCCAGGTGGTGGTGGGCAACAGGCAGATGGGTCCTGCTCCTGGAGTTTCCTCTCTGGCACCTTGTCTGCTAGGACCTCCCCTGAACTCTGTGCACAGTTCTCCATGTGGTTCGTCCTCGCCTGGGACACACACAGACATGTTTGGGCCAGCCTGCGCCCTCGTCTTGCTGGTAGCTTTGTACCACTGCTCCTGGTGGGAGTCAGGCTCCAGATGCCCCGGGGGCTCTCAGAGCATCCATGCTGTGCCAGGCCGTCTTCACACCGGCCGTCCAGGGCCTCCCCTCCACACAGGCCCAGGCGCAGTCTCTGCAGCCACAACTCGGCAGGCGGCCTGCAGGGCACACGCCTCAGAGATGCGGGCTGCGTCTCCAGCGCAGGGCGTCTTCCTGCCAGCGCGCCCTTGCTGTGTGAAGCACTGTCTCCCCCTTTAGAAGAGCGCCTCCGGCAGGTGCTTCCACTTTAGGAGGGGCCCTGGGGCCCCGAGCAGGTGAGGAGAGGTGCTGGGCCCAGGGCCCCAGTGTAGGTGCTGCACCCCGCTGCCTCTCCTGTTGCCACCAGGCCTTTCTCACGGGGACATTGGTGGCTGCTGGCATTTTGAATTCTCAGTCTTTTGTTTTGTCATACCTCTGAGCATAGTTAAGTGACTCACAGAACCTCTGGAAGGCAAATGTGTTGGGCAGGGCCGTGTCTGCCCTTCCCGGGTGACTGAGTGTTAGCTGAGGCGTCACTCACAGCAGCAGGGCCCAGGGTCGTGTGGCAGACTCCCAGGAAGCGGTGCCCCGACCCCACGGAGTCGCCGCTTCGCAGTGCAGGTGTTGGCACACGGCCCGCGGCCTGCACGAAGCCTCCCCTTTGAGGATAGCAGACTGTGCCCACGTGTCCCCTGCAGGAGATTGTGGATGCCACCGCTGCTTTGGGCCCCCACGTCCTCCTCCTTTCACACCCGTCCTGGGAGCTGTGTGCTGCCCCCCCTTCCCGCAGGCGTTTCTCATGCGCCTTCTTCTTCAGCGCTGAACATGCACACAGGCAGCACGGAAGGAAGGACTCAGACGCGCATTGCCTGCGCTGCCTTCTCGAGTGAGCTCCCTTTATGGCTGCCCAGCTGGCCCTGTCTCAAGGAGCTCTGTCCCTCCTGCTCCCCTGGCCCCCCACTGAGGCGTGGCAGGTGGGCTTTGTGCCCGGCTCCCCACTTGGCACGTCAGGCCCCAGGGCGGCATGGAGACTGGGGGCTGGGGGAGCGCCCCACAGCTGGGGAGGGTCGGCCAGGGTCAGGCATGCATTTCTCTGTTGTTCCTGCTCCTGCTGAGCACCCCCCTCACCCACCTGAGTCCAGCTCCCATGCGGTTCCCTCTGCACACTGGCAGTTGCTTCATGTGGAGATGGTGAGACCCTGTGTCTGGAAACCTTCCAGTTTGGGGTCTCGGGGTGCGCAGGCAGGCACCTGGGCTCTGTAGGTGTTTGGTGTCCCTGGGTGCCGGCCGGCAGGTGTTTGGTGTCCCTGGGTGCCGGCCGGCATGCAGTCCGCCTGTGTACGGGAGTCCCAGCTGACCCTGCAGGATGGAGACAGGCCCCCTGCTGAGAAGGACCGGTGGAGGTTACCAAGCCACAGCACCATCTGCTCTCTCCTCCCGGGAGGGGGAGGCTCCCAACTGTTACAGTGTCTCACACACACAGACGCCCTTTGTGATGGTCTGGGCCCTCTGACCTGGCATGTGGCCTTGGAGGTTCTGCCAAGGGGTGCTGAGCTGATGTGACCCCTGCTTCTTCTAACTTGGACTGCGGAGCTTCCTCCTGCTCTTCTCATCTGATGCCTGACCGATACTGGGCCCCTCGTCTGACTGTGGCAGGCTCTCAGGCCAGCCCGCTGTGCAAGGATGGCTTCAGGTGGGACTGCAGCCCCCCGCCCGCCAGGTCCCCCGGAGCTCTGGGCTCCTGAGGTGCTGTCTGCGTGGGCTGAGAGGACTGACGAGGTGGGCGATAGTGTGGGAGCCCTGCTGCGTGCCTGCCCTTGTCTGCCCACTCACATCCCGTAGGGCCAGAGGCCTGCTGGGGAGCTTCTCCCAGACGCAGCACAGAGCTCTGGGGCTCACTATGCCAGGGACCAGGGCTCGCTTCACATGCCTGGCAGGGCCCCTGACTTCCGGGGAAGCAGCGTGACCAAACCAGCTCCCCACAGGCTAGTTGACACAGAGTGGAGCCTCTACATCTCGGCAGTGCTGTGACGAGACTGTGTCCTCCCAGGGGCTGGTCACGCCTGCTCAGGGACCGCTGCCTCCGGGAGCGCTCACAACACGCAGGTGCTGAGCCCTGTGAGCCAGACGCCCTCTCAGGTGCCTGCTGGGCGCAGCCTGGCAGGTCGGGAGGCGGGTGCTCTGTGGATAGGGGGTGTCACCCACACACTTCTGGACACGAACACCTGTGCCCTCTGCCTGCCCTGGCCTGCACTGTCCTCAACTCTGTGCCCCAGTGTACCCAGCTGACGAGGTGCATCAGGTCCAGATCGCCATGCCGCCCCGCCCCCGCCCAGGCCTGCACTCCCTCTCCTGCTGGCCGGGCCCCACAGGGCATCCCGGGGCAGCCCCACTGTGCTGGCCTTGCTGCCGCCCCCACCCCCAGCCCTGGCTGCTTGTGCTGCCCTGTGGGGCCATGGTCTGTACGCTCTTCACACCCTGGTTCAGATTCAGACCCTGCTTTCTTCTCATGGAAGACGCCCCTCACTTTTGCCAGGCTCCTTAGAAAGCCTGGGGCAGGATAGTGAGCCGTCCCCCTGCCAGGGCCTCTAGTTAATGCTTGTCTGCTCCGCGCATGGGTGGCTCGCCCTGCACGGAGAGGAAGGGTCTTCTCTCAGCTCTAACATTTAATTTCAGGCGGCGACAGTGTCCTTTCAGCTTGCCTTTCTAGTTTGACATTTCTATTACATCCGTTTAAGTAAAGAAAAATACCCCACCTGTTTGTTATGGGAAATTGCCATTTGCAATTATTAGAAAGCCAAGTGTCCCACTGGGGGTGGGGGCAGCAGCTGGACCTGGGTCACAGTAGAAAGAAAATTTCAAAGAGCAAAGCAGTTCTAGGAAATACAGTGATGTCAAACAAAATGCCTTTTACTTCAGCTCCAAATTTAAGGTGTTAGTATACTAAGAGTTTATGAAAGTATGCGGTGCTGTGGCCTGCCTCTGGCCACTGCTGAGGATGGGCCTGAGGAGAGGGGTGGCGTGGGGGACGGGGGAGGTGGCCTGCTGCCCAAGGGCCTCCCTGTCCTGGCCATGGGTGTGGGTGGTTTGGAAGCCGTGCTCTGCAGGATTTGGGGACACCTCTTTTTGCCTCAATAACTTCCAGGCGCTCTCAGAAGCTGGCTTCTGCCCACACCCCATCCGTCAGGGCCCCCGGGCTCCAGCAGCCTCACTTCCAGGGGGCTCTGAGGTGGGAGGCCCCTGGCAGCTCCTCCAGCAGTGGTCCTTGAGGGCCCTCTGAGGCACCACTGGGGCTGGACCCATTTTCTTTTGCTGGAGTGGTTACCCACGTCCCCTCCTTTTTGTGTATGGGGGTCTTGGGGAGCTCCTGATTGTGTGTGACCCTCAGACGCCCCCCGAGCTTGTTCCTGTTTTCCCCCACCTCCCGTGTGTCCCTGAAGGCTGGCAGCACGCCATCCTCCAGAGCACAGCGTGCAGGCAGGTCTCCTTCCCGGTGCCGTTCCTTCCTTGCCGAGCGTCGCTCTGGGCCACCGGCAGCTCTGCCCTCCTCTCCCCTAGGCCTTTCCCGGTCGTGCGGCCCCTGTGAGCACTTGCAGTGCACGTGTCAGTGTACGTAGGCCCACTGAGCGGCTGGTGTGTGACCGTGGGTGACAGTGAGATGGTCGGTACGTACATGAAGTGAGTAAAGTGTAAAGTTACACAAGTTAGCGTGAGCAGGACCTCCACGTGTTCCCCACACATCATGTTGTCCTGCACCCTGGTCCCGGCTTTCTGTCCTCGGAGTTCGGCCCTGCCAGCCTGTCCCTTGTAGGTGCAGGGCCCAGCCTGCTGACTACCTGCCCCAGCTGGCCTGTGAGGTCAGGCTGGACCCTGTGCCCTTCCCCAGGCTTTGCCTCTCAGATGCCACTGCCTGCAGGGGCGGCGCCGCTCCCCAGAGGACGCCAGTACCCCCGAAGTCTGGAGCTTGGCTCCTGTGAGTCTGGGCCGTGGCAGCTCACCACTCCATGCACCGAGTCCACAGGCCAGCGGTGCGGTGTCGTCTTCACTGACAGTTTTAATGCGCTGTTTGTGGGTTTTCCCACATTGAATTTGGGTTTGTGACCTGCTGCGCTGAAGCAGGGTCTTATTTTGTGAGGCGCTTGCCCTCCCTCGAGGGGGCCCCAGGGTGAGGGTGTCCAGGGCGGAGGGACTGGGGCCTTCCCTGGAGGAGCTGCAGGGCTGGGTGCCGGGAGTGGCGGAGGCGCAGGGTGGAGGTGGCCTGGCGGCCTCTGCACCAGGGCACGGGCAGCCTTCCCCCTCCGGCGGGTGGTCCTGCGGAGTCGGAGGGGGACCGGTGGGCCTGGCAGGCCCAGGCTGCTCAAGCTGGCGTGTGTCCTTGTCCACGATTGAAAGTCCCCTCTCGTCGTCGTGGAGGCCTGTCCTCTTCTCAACTCAATTTCGAAGAAACCCAAATCTTTGAATAACCTTCATCCTGAAAGGAAAGGAAGTCGACTGCAGGTGGAAATTGATGGTCACACTCAAAGACACGGTTCCCTGCCAGGCAGCCTCTTGAGTGTCGCAGCTAAAAATAGCCACGGCGTCCTGCCGCGGTCTGAACTGTCTCCAGGCCACTCCTGGTGACTCTCTGAGATCGGGAGAGGCCCAGCGCCTCCTCTGCCACTCCTGCCCTTGCCTGCTGTGGCCTGGCCTGGCTGGCCTGCCGAGGGCCCGGTCAGTGTTTTGGATGTGTTGGGCAGTGCTCCCCCACCCGCCTCTGCCCCCATAGGACTGTCTTGGCGTGGCGCCCCCGAGGCGG